CTTATTTTTTATTTTCAAAAAGAATATTATTTCCAAATAACTAAAAAAATAAACACAAAAATATACATTTTATTCCTTAATTAATAGTTCACTAATACAATTGAATGAAAAACAGAAAATTGATTGAATCAAAACTAAAGTGATAATAAAAAAAAACTACCCAGACTTAAAAACGAAAAATACAATAGACAAATCAAAAACTGAGAAAAAACCAAGATGAAATATAAAACTAAAAGGTCTGCTCTGTTGGAGATGGTTCTATTGGTGGCCAAAAAGAACCTATTATGCAAAGTTTAAAGGAGCGAGTTCGACAAATAAACTCAGTAGATAATAATTATTTATTAAAGCATAATTGACAAAGGAAATGGAGCATTGAATATGAAGAACAAATATGGACGATTATTATGTGCATATATAATATTATAAGATAACAATAGAGTAGTAAACATCAAATATGCTTACTTATCATAAGAAAACATGCAATCATTTCAAATTACGTTTTTTATTATTTAATTTTTATTAATATTTATATTTTCGGTTTTAGTAGAAACCTTGAAACCAGGAAGGTCAATGCCAACCTAAGGAAAATCGCTGATTTTCTGTAGAGTTGTCACTTTATGTGCACATCTGCTCTAATATCAAATTTCCAAAAGGATTCCACCAACCTGCATGTCCTCACACACATGAATACCAAAATTTTCATAGGTATAATATGTAAGAAATAAGTTATTTCATGCAGGCTTCTGATATGTTAGATGTACTTTAATAGAAGTATAGTGCATGAAAATAAAATATTATAATTAGAAGATTTATTCATATATGTGGGAGTTTAGCAACAATCGAGTAAGACAGTTACTGATTTCATCATGAGTAATAATTGAAGAATATAGCAAGTGAAAATCATAATTTAAGTATTAAGGGCATGGCTGGAAATCATATGGAATAGTTGTGAATCAACTATAAATAATAAGAATTAACGCCCATAATTAGGAAGGGTACGTTTATCCTCTAATAAAAAGTAGTTACTTACTTCAAGATACTTCAATGAGTTTAATAGTTCAACCAGCGATCCTACATGATATAGAAAAAATAAATATAAATAAGTATGTATTTAAACTTATTTATTCATTAAATTAGGTGTATCCTAAATAAGATATATACTTATTATTATGATTATTACTGTCATTAAAATATTATTTTAATATTTATAAAAGAAATAAATCACAAATCTAATTAAAATTAACTTTAACTTGCATTTAAAACCTATCAAATAGAAAAATAATAATAACTTTGAATCCTACAGGTTCTTAAATCCCATTTTTTCCTATGTTTTCCTTTAAATCCAGGATCATTAAATCCTATTAGAAAATATATTTATGGGATTTAGAGAAGATGCACCTGGTTGGGAGGAAGAAGGAGAAAGATGAGGGTTTCCTTCTTTAATGGTTTCAGGTAGGAGCAGGTGGAAAGAAGAGGAGGTATGTTTTAGAGGCCTCTGTATGCCTACGATTTTTGAGTTTCCTTCTAGGCTAGCTCTGATTGTGATGGTGTCTACTAACCCAGGAAGTCAATACCAAGCCATCACAATTAGGTATGTTTCAAAGGTTTATGTAAGTCTATGGTTCCTTAGTTGCCTTTTAGGATAATTCAACCAAAAAGTGATGGTTCTGGGCGATTGCGTGAGAGAGGGAGGAGTGAGATAGGAGGGATTTAGTGGACAAAGAAGGAAGTCTGGTGAGGAGGTGTTAGATGCCCTAGCCCATGCTCTACTCTTATAAAGCAGAGAGGCAGTGTGATCAAACACTTCATGAAGGTGGTAGATGCGAGGGGGAAGGAGAAAACGAAAGAATTAAAGGAGTCCAAATCAGAAAAGTGTTGAAAAAAAGGAAAAAAATCACGTGGGAGGAAAAGGTAAAATTTTGAATCTTACATACAACCCTCCTAAAAAGAATTTTTTCCCCAAATTCATACCTTAGTTATGGAAAAACGTTAAGTATTTTGTGATCGTCCCTTCTTCAATCTCCCGAGTTGCTTCTCATTATGATTGGTTCATCCAAAGCACTGGTACAAGAAGAATAGATCGGTTGCAAATCTGTTAAACTTTATGCTCTAAGATGTGATCTTGTACTTCTTCATAACTAAGGTCTCCCTGAATCATCAATGGCTCATACTAGATAATATGAGAGTCATCATGCTCATAACGTCAAATTAGAGAGACGTGGAAGACATTTTGTACTTCTGAAACTCTTGGAGGAAAAGTCAAAAGATATGAAACTCTACTGCCTTTCTTGATCACCTCTAAAGGACAATTGAAACGACACTGAAGCTTTCCAATCTTGCCAAATTGTGCAACTCCATGCATAGTTGAAATCTTCAAAAAAAATGTGATCTTCAAAATTAAATTTAATCTCTTTATTTTTTGGGTCTACGTACTTCTTCTGACAATCATGGGCCACACGTGGTTGTTCTAAAATATGACAAACCTTCTTAGTAGCATGATCCAGTAGTTAAGGTCCAAATATTGGTCTTTAACTGACTTCAAAATAACATAAGAGGGATCTACACTTTCTACAAAAAATGCTTCATATGACTCCATGTCGATACCAGCCTGAAAGCTATTGTTATAAACAAACTCTACCAACAAATTATAGTTCTTTTAGCTACCTCCAAAGTTTAAAATGAAAGCTCTTAGCAAGGCTTATAAGGTATTCATCTGTTCAAGGATGAAAAGCAGGTTTAAAATGAAAGCTCTTAGCAAGGCTTATAAGGTTTGAATGGTGTGCTTCAACTATTCATCTGTTCAAGGATGAAAAGCAGTAGTAAAATTTGATCTCGTGCCCATAGTTCCTCTCACTTGCTTCCATAGCCTGCAAGTAAATCATCCATCTTTATCCATTAAAATTATGGTTAGAATTCCATGCAGTCGAAAAATGGTATCTATATAAATCTAGGATAATTTATCCACCAAATAGTTCTACTTGATTGATAGAAAATGAGTTGACTTAGTTATTCTATGACCACAACCCAAATAGCATCATGTCCTTGCTTCGATCTCAACAAGTCAACAACAAGGTCCATGAAAATCTCCTCTCATTTCTACTCTAGAATGGGAAGTGATTGTAATAGACCGCTAAGTCTATGATGCTCAGCCTTAACCATTTGAAAGGTCAGACACTTTGCTATAAAAGCAACACAATATGAAGTATAATGTGCTTCACAAAGTATCTTCTGTGGAAGTCCTTTTCTGATATAGAACACACAATTGGTCCTAAAATCTCAATATGTCATCTTGATTGATCATAAACTTGGGCTTCGATCCATTCTTTTTTTGCTCTCTAAGCAAGCAAGTCAGCATCCATCATATAAGCTGCACAAACACAGCCTAACATTTATAAATCGAGCTCAAAATTATTATTTATTCAGCTTAATTACTTAATGAGCAAATCAAACACAAGCTACTTAACAAGCCAAACACAAATTATTCCCGAATGATGACCTTTTTTTTTACAATCCCTCTAATGCATTTGAAAACAAATTATTAACGCTTATCATGACAAAAATTGGTTCAAACAAAAATTTAAGTAAAATTCAAAGTTCTAGTATAGTTGGAGCAACATTTGAAAAAACAATTAAATTTTAAATACAGTTGGAGCAAAATTCAAACATAATTTTGTTTGTACTATGCCTAAAAATTTATTCAAAAGTTCTCTCATGTATTTGCAAATGAATTGTCGAAGCTTTTCATGATAAAGTTTTGTTCAACAAATATTTAAGCAAAATTCAGATTCGAACATAATTGGAGCAATAGTTGAGAAAGATTCAAGTAAAATTCAAATAAGATTCGGTCAAAACACCAACATTTCAGTATGGTTCAAACAAAGTTGTAGCATGATTTAAAGCAATGTTTTAACATGGTTCAAACAAATTAACACCAGAACTTGGGATTTACTTGTTTGCTTATCACTGGAGATTGGAGTCATGAGATCAATTTAGCTTTGGGATCAGAAAACTATTTTTGCATAGAAGCAAACAAGGGCTTAAATGTAGCTATTCCTGCTCCTGATCTTTATTTGTTAAGGAATAAAGAGCATTAAAATTTACATTCTAGCACAAAAGATTCCCCATTAAACTATCCTTTGCTTCAATGTCAAGAAGAGTTTGCGTTATAAAGGTTCTAATGGCACTTTAAACAAAAAATGAGATCAATTACAGATAAGCAATGTTTTAACATGGTTCAAACAAATTAACACTAGAACTTAGGATTTACTTGTTTGCTTATCACTGGAGATTGGAGCCATGAGATCAATTAGCTTTGGGATGAGAAAACCATTTTTGCATAGAAGCAAACAAGGGCTTAAATGTAGCCATTCCTGCTCCTGCTCCTGATCTTTATTTTTTAAAGAATAAAGAGCATTAAAAATTACATTCTGGCACAAAAGATTCCCCATTAAACTATCTTTTTGCTTCAATGTCAAGAAGAGTTTGCGTGATCAAGGTTCTAATGGCACTCTAAACAAAAAATTAAACATTTACCAAACTCGTTTCTTTCGTAATTACAGATTTTCATGCGAAATTAACTTTCAGAAATGTTTAAAATTTTTCTTTTATGTGACATGCAAAGGCTTGGGCTCCTTCTAATCCAATTATTTCACACTACTTGACTACTACAAGCTTACCGACCAAAGGGCAAACTACTTTGAGCCTAACTTTATTCAGTGAGGAAAATACATCTGTCAAATAAAAAGCATGAATTCTTGGATGCAACAAAACATTAATCAACTCCCTAAAAATACAAAATTTTTCCATATGCAAAACGAAAATCATCGTCACACATAAAAATTGAATCAAAGCTTTTAATCAGCGGATGCTATCAAATTTCCAGTTTGCAATAGGATCAGATTATAAAAAGGAATTACAAATTCAAAGTCTTACGACAGCAAGAATAGGAAGATTGTAATGGTGGAATGATGCTATCAAATTTCCAGTTTGCAATAGGATCAGAAACAAAAAGGAATTACAAATTCAAAGTCTTGCGACAGCAAGAATAGGAAGATTGTAATGGTAGAGAGATGCAAGGAAAATATGTATTGTATGAATGTTCAGACATCCAAGAAAAAAAAAAACTACAAATGGAGCATAATTTACAAGTCGAAAGGTACTTGTAGAGCGGCGCTTTTAGTACAAAAGAATGCTAACTTCTCCCCCATAAGTCATTTTTTAATGGTTCACCCAAGATATCGAAGTAGGACGCCATCATTACCCAAGACAAAGCCTTTGTTATCATCTATAAATCTGCAGTATAAACTCATTCTTAATATATCAAACCATAAAAATCTGCAAGATTAATAATGACTGATTAAAAGAGCTGTTAAAATACACATACGAGCTGATACATTAATTAATGGAATGGATTTTTAAAAGGTTGCTTCCGAAGCAAAAAACATGGATGTAAGTAAAACATGTGAAACTTCTTGGTTTTCAAAAAGAATGGAAATCATTCTTTTAAGCGTTGGCCAAACCAAGTTTAAAGAAACAGTAAGCTAGCTTCTTACGTTTAAGTTATCAATTTGCCATTTATAGTTCACATTTGAAATCCGCTATCAGAGTGAATTAAGATTATTCATCACAACATTAGATACCCAACCATTGTGTAGAGCAAACTAAATTTCACTGAAAATCATATGCCTCGTGTATTTAGATTTGGCTTATACATAGGAAAAAAAAGGCAAAATATGGTCAAGCTAATGGTAGTGTGTCTAGCAATAAAATAAAATAAAATGGTTTTGATATCTTATTAAGAGATATTAATATGGAAATTCCACTTAATATTGCTATGTGGTTCAAAGAGATAAACACATTAATTGCAATTATTGTGTTAGTTTCATTATTTGTCAATATCTTTAATAATTTTGTATACATTTAATTGACTTAGCTTTGATTTACTGCAGCATTATTATAATGTACCTAAATCAAATTCTACATCGTATAATAAATCATATTGATTAAATGAAGGAAACGAAAAAGCATTATTTAGGGTGTGTTTGGGATGGTTTATTCATAGCTTCTGCAATTTGAAAGCGCGGCTATGGCGTTTGGTTTTCGCGTTTGGAGAGCGTCCCGCCAAACACACTTTTGCATTACAATTGTACGCGGCCCGCGCCCACGTCCCGCGGGCCAACATTTCGATCCTTTTTTTACTTACCAACCCCCTATCGCCACCTTTCCCCTCTCGTGCCCTAGGTAACTTTCGATCCTCTTCCCTGACCTTGTTGCACCTCTCACACGTCTATTGTTTTTCTCTTCATGTTCTCCTCTGCGATCTGTCATCGATGTGCTCTGTAAGTATTTACCCTTGCTTTTCTTGTGATTCGCAACAATGGAGCGTTGCGTATGGATGGTTGTGAAGCAATGCGTATGAATGGCTCTTCTGGTTTAGGATGAAACGTTTTCTATGCGAATTAAGATGTGAAGCATTGAATGACATTCTTTTTTGTTTTGAGAAGGTTTTCGTTTTCCTTATTGGAATCCCGATTTTTTCTATGGAATTTCTGTGGTAATTTTGCTTCATCATTTTATGCTTTTAATATCTGTGAGAAATTTGGCTTGTTGAAGCCATGGAAAACCATATGGAAAGCTGTAGGCATTACTTTTGTGGCATTTTTTCTATGGCATTTTTGTAGAATTCATTTAATTGAGATATGAATTGGATGGAGGATTATTCAACAGGTTGAGCCCATTTGTTAGTTGAGATATGAACAATTGTCCGAGCTTATATTGGGATGAACTAATCTCCTATGTTTATGGTGGCTTGGGTGTGCTCTCCTGGCTTTGGGTGTGGGTTTGGCGGCTGTGAGTGGTATTTATAGTCGATTTGGTGTGCTCTTCTGGCTTTGGGTGTGTGGGTTGGTGGTGGATGTGAGGTGTGCAAATGACAGCAGTGGTTGTGAGTGGTGTTGATCGCGGCTTGTGTGTTCTCTCCTGCCTTTGGATGTATGGGTTGGTGGTGGATGTGAGGTGTGCACATGACAGCGGTGGTTGTGAGTGGTGTTGATCATGGCTTGTGTGTGCTCTCCTGGCTTTGGGTGTGTGGGTTGGTGGTGGATGTGAGGTGTGCTTGTGACAGTGGTAGCTGTGAGTGGTGTTGATCGTCGCTTGTGTGCCCTCTTGACTTTGGGTGTGTGGGTTGGTGGTGGATGTGAGGTGTGCTTGTGACAGTGATAGCTGTGAGTGGTGTTGATCGTAGCTTGTGTGTGCCCTCTTGACTTTAGGTGTGTGGGTTGGTGGAGGATGTGAGGTGTGCTTGTGACAGTGGAGGATGTGAGGTGTGCTTGTGACAGTGGTGGCTGTGAGTGGTGTTTATGGTGGCTTGGGCGTGCTCTCCTGACTTTAGGTGTGTTGGTTGGTGGTGGATGTGAGGTGTGCTTGTGACAGTGGTGGTCGTGAGAGGTGTTTATGGAGACTTGAGTGGTGGATGTGAGGTCTGCTTGTGTGTGGTGCATGTGAGTGTTATTTATGGTGGATTGGGTGTGCTCTGCAGACCTTGGGTTGTGTGAGTTATGTTTATGGTGACTTGTGTTTTATGCTTCAAATGTGTTTCTTTATTATGTTATGTTATTGTTTCTATTGGTGCATAATTTTATTATCAATACCAGTGTACTTATTGATACATATCTTTTACTGATCTCATTATGGCTAAGAACAACTAAGCGACTACGTCAGCAATGTGGGATAAGGATGTCACAAACATTTTCTGCAATCTCTGTATTAAGGAGATTGAACTTGGAACTAAAACAATCACTTATTTTTACAAAGAAGAGTGGCAGAATATTTCCAAAAAGTTTAAAGAAATGACATGGTGAGAGTACGATAGGTTAAAATTCAAGAACAAGTGGGATCAGCTAAAGAATGACTGAAAGTTATGGAACAAACAGAAACTGAGACCCATGGGATTGGGATGGGATCCTATCAAGCATACTGTGGATGCTTCAGAGGAATGACAGACTGAGAAGTTAGAGGTAATAATTGTACCCCTGCGAACTCTTCAGTTAATTATCATTTTTATTTTTATTTCGTCTAATTTGCTCCCGTTTCCCACTCCCTCCCCCCTCCACGTTGCAGGCAGTACCAACTGCAAAATAATTTAAGGTGTGCAGAATTGATCTAAACTTGGAAGAAAAATTAGACGTAATGTTCAAGAGAGTTGTCGTGACAAGTCAAGATGCGTTCAACCCAAGTGATCAAGGATTTGCAAGCATCACAGTTGACTTGCAACCCAATCAAATTAAGGGTTCTAGTGAAGGACCTACCATAAACCCGAGAGAGCTCGAGTCCACGTGTCAATCAAAGAGGCGTGGGATGGAAAAAGCACAAAAGATAAAGATGTTTTCGCGAAGAGCTCGATAGATAGACTGATTCAAGTTTTTGTAGCACTGCAACCTGGTGCTACAGCTGACACCACTATCGATGATTTTTTGATAGTTTTAGATGGAATTCCATAAATTGTGGTTGATCACACCTTCTATTTAAAATGTGTTAAAGTGTTCAAGGACCCGACTCGCAGGCAGATATTCATGAGGTTGCAGCTCGAGCTACGTCTCGAATATTTACGTTTCTCGATTGGCAAATGAGCTTTTGCTATTTTGTGGCTCTTGGATTTGCGGATTGTAGTAGATATATTTGTTTTTTAAGTATTTTTAAGACAATGATATGTGGAAAATTTTGTCATTAAAGTAGTACATGTTGTGAAAAATGTTTGCTTTTCTTTATATTTTCACGATTTTTTTCTTTTGTTTTAAGAAGCAGTTTATTCATAGCATGTTACCCTAACAAATCATTTATTCATGATGAATCGGCAACGAGAACGTCGCAAAAAAATGGCTGCGGAAATTGTTATATTGTTGTTAGAATACTATCGCTCCATCATTATTCAAACACCGCGCATGACGTGGTCCTTTATTGGGGATAAATGGGGGTGGGAGGGGGGGCTAGATGCTCGTTGGAGATCCAATAAGATTCATCAGCATATTTTGCATGAGTGTACCCATTTTTGGATCTCCTTCACGAGCTACGTAGCAACCACGACCTCCGAGGTTCTTCCAAAACGACTACAAGGGAGGTGTTGGCAATTACGCCGTACATTCTATCTCAAAACGAATCAACCTGAGAAACCATGGAGCAATTCCATAATTCCTCAGAGACAATAAGCCCATACTTCTACAAAGGTCTAAAAGCATTTGTTAGTCTAACGTCCCACGTAATTAAGTCAGTAAATCCGTCATTTGGTACAACTCCAGAAAAAAAATGCTAATGACCCACGTTACATGCTATTTTTCAAGGTAAGTTTTATTAGTGCATTATGTTTACTTCAGAATGTAATTATTGTGTTGGGATTGACATTTCTAATAACTTCAAACAGAATTGCATTTGGGCAATTGACGGTACACACATGGATGCCCGACTACCCAACCATGAAAAGGTGGCATACATTGGTTGATGTGGTTCAGCTACCTAAAACGTGAAAGTCATATGTGACTTCAACATGTGCATCACATTTGTAATGACTAGATGGGAATGGAGGGCACATGACAGTCATCTTTTTGCCTATGCAACAAGAAATAACAGACAACGCTTCCCTCATCAGTCTAAAAGTTAGTTTACTTTTCTTAAACTATTAGTTTTTGTTATCAATAGTCAATAATACTGTATTTCATGACAGATAAATATTATTTGGTGGATGTCGGATATCCCTTATAGATGGGGTATTTAAAGTCATTTCCAGATACCAAATACCACATCCGTGATTTCAAAATCAAGTGGTGTTGCCCATGATAGAAAATAATTGTTCAGCAAATGTCACTCTTCCTTACGCAGGGTGATTAAAAGAACTTTTGGGGTTTGGAAGAAAAAATGGGTCATCCTACGCGATATGTCGACGTACCCATTTCCTAAACAAATACATATTATGGTGGCCACAATGACGCTCCACAATTTTATTAGGAGGCATCCCTCTTGGTTTGATACAGACTTCAATATGGCTGACGCTGATGACATGCATATCCCGCCTGAAGCATTCAAATTTCAGGTTGGACAATTTATTTTAGAGGATGTTATGAAGTCACGTGAATTTGACACCCATGATGGCGAAGGTGCAGCGTAGATGGCTGTTTTGAGGAAACATATCACAGATGTTATATGCGGTTGTTGATTGACCTCATTTTCTTTATTTTACATACTTTATGTACACTTCTTACATCGTTAGTTCCATTGTAACCTTCAATTTTATGATATTAACA